CTGATAACAGACGTCTACAGCGAGAGAGAGAGAGAGAGAGAGAGAGAGAGAGAGAGAGAGAGAATGAATTATCTGGAGAAAGCGCCAAGCCATTACGAATATATAGCACTTGGAAGGGGTCAGGATAAGGATTTGGGATGGGACGGGGGGGGGGGGGATTGAATGGTACCCAACAACTTGTGGGCCGTCGGGGATTGAACGCCGACCTGCATAAAGCGAGATCAGTTATTAGTATACTCCCGTATACTAATAACTGATGTATTCACTCGTATATCGTACACTTATCCGTAACACCTCAGTATCCGGAGAGTGTGGGTACCGGATATCCGTACTCACTAACCTATATACCAGTGAGGGGTAAGGTGGCGCTTGAGGTCACGTCATCCCCTTACTTGCGGTTTCCTGTCTTGAGTCTTTTACCCTCCGTGTCTGCCACAACCCTCCCCCCCCCACCTTGTTCTGGAAGACCCCCCACCTTGTTCTGGAAGACCCCTCACCTTGTCTGGAAGATCCCTCACCTTGTCCTGGAAGACCCCTCACCTTGTCCTGGAAGATCCCTCACCTTGTTCTGGAAGACCCCTCACCTTGTCCTGGAAGATCCCTCACCTTGTCCTGGAAGACCCCTCACCTTGTCCTGGAAGATCCCTCACCTTGTTCTGGAAGATCCCTCACCTTGTCCTGGAAGACCCCCACCTTGTTCTGGAAGATCCCTCACCTTGTCCTGGAAGACCCCCACCTTGTTCTGGAAGATCCCTCACCTTGTCCTGGAAGACCCCCACCTTGTTCTGGAAGATCCCTCACCTTGTTCTGGAAGACCCCCACCTTGTCCTGGAAGATCCCTCACCTTGTTCTGGAAGATCCCTCACCTTGTCCTGGAAGACCCCCACCTTGTCCTGGAAGATCCCTCACCTTGTTCTGGAAGACCCCCACCTTGTCCTGGAAGACCCCCACCTTGTCCTGGAAGACCCCCCCCCCCAAGCTTGTCCTGGAAGATCCCCACATTGTCCTGGAAGATCCCCACCTTGTCCTGGAAGACCCCCCACCTTGTTCTGGAAGACCCCCACCTTGTTCTGGAAGATCCCCACCTTGTTCTGGAAGATCCCCACCTTGTCCTGGAAGATCCCTCACCTTGTCCTGGAAGACCCCCACCTTGTTCTGGAAGACCCCCACCTTGTTCTGGGAAGACCCCCACCTTGTTCTGGAAGACCCCCACCTTGTTCTGGAAGATCCCCACCTTGTCCTGGAAGATCCCTCACCTTGTCCTGGAAGACCCCCACCTTGTCCTGGAAGACCCCCCCCCACCTTGTCCTGGAAGATCCCTCACCTTGTCCTGGAAGATCCCTCACCTTGTCCTGGAAGACCCCTCACCTTGTCCTGGAAGATCCATTCTTGTAGTCCTGTGGGATCCTCTCTCCAGGTCTGTCCAACCTCTTGGGGTGGACGGAAGAGCGACGGTCTCGCGTCAAGCAGATCAGCGTTCAATCCCCGACCATCCAAGTGGTTGGACACCATTCCTTTCCATCCCATTCCAAATCCTTATCCTGACCCTTTTTATGGGAGCCGGTCGGCCGAGCGGACAGCACGCTGGACTCGTGATCCTGTTGTCCTGGATTCGATCCCAGGCGCCGGCGAGAAACAATGGGCAGAGTTTCTTTCACCCTATACCCCTGTTACCTAGCAGTAAAATAGGTACCTGGGTGTTAGTCAGCTGTCACGGGCTGCTTCCTGGGGGTGGAGGCCTGGTCGAGGACCGGGCCGCGGGGACACTAAAAAGCCCCGAAATCATCTCAAGAAGATAGTGCTATATAGTCGTAATGGCTTGCCCTTTTCCCCTGATATCCCCGCCCCCTCTTCCTGGGCATGTTCGATACATATTTTATTCTCTCCAGGTCTTATTGTGCTCATTGGTCCAGGATTCACCAAGGAGTGTGTGTCCACTCACGAAACCTTTACATCTTTCCTGAAACAACCCGAGGCATCAATAGCAAAGGTTCAAGAACACCCTCGCAGCGCTTCCAAGCTCATCAACTGTTTAATAAATACAGAATTAGCCGCCATGATTGAGGAAAGATGTACATGTTTCGCACATGGTCACGTAAATGGTTGATGAGTCCTTGTTCTGGCAGGTTAAGGAGGCAAGATGTAAGCCGTGACGGTGTAAGCTCCTTTCAGTTATCTTTCACATGGAATGGAAAGTTGCTTGCCATTGTTTCGGTAACTTATTCTTGCAAGAATAAAGCAAGACTTTTTTTTGTGTGTAATTCTTGTGTGTGTGTGTGTGTGTGTGTGTGTGTGTGTGTGTGTGTGTGTGTGTACTCACCTATTTGTGTCTGCAGGATCGAGCATTGACTCTTGGATCCCGCCTTTCGAGCATCGGTTGTTTATAGCACTGACTCCAGTCCTATTTGCCTATCATACCTAGTTTAAAATTATGAATAGTATTTGCTTCCACAACCTGTTCCTGAAGTGCATTCCATTTTCCCACTACACTCACGCTAAAAGAAAACTTCCTAACATCCCTATGACTCATCTGAGTTTCCAGCTTCCATCCATGTCCCTTCGTTCTGTTACTATTCCGTGTGAACATTTCGTCTATGTCCACTCTGTTAATCCCCCTGAGTATTTTATACGTTCCTATCATGTCCCTCCCCTCTTCCTTCTTCTTTCTAGTGTCGTAAGGCACAGTTCCTTCAGGCGCTCCTCATACCCCATCCCTCGTAACTCTGGGCCGAGTCTCGTTGCAAACCTCTGAACCTTTTTCAGTTTCCTTATATGCTTCTTCAGATGGGGGACTCCATGATGAGGCGGTATACTCTAAGACTGGCCTCACGTAGGCATGCTAAAGCGCCCTAAATGCCTCCTTACTTAGGTTTCTAAATGACGTTCTAACTTTTGCCAGTGTAGCGTACACTACTGTCGTTATCCTATTTATATGTGCTTCAGGAGATAGATTAGGTGTTACGTCCACGCCTAGGTCTCTTTCTCGCGTCGTCACAGGTAGGCTGTTCCCCTTCATTGTGTACTGTCCCTTTGGTCTCCTATCTCCTAGTCCCATTTCCATAACTTTACATTTGCTTGTGTTGAACTCCAGTAGCCATTTCTCTGACCATCTCTGCAACCTGTTCAGGTCCTCTTGGAGGATCCTGGAATCCTCATCTATCACAACTCTTCTCATCAACTTTGCGTCATCTGCGAACATCGACATGTAGGACTCTACGCCTGTAAACATGTCGTTAACATATACAAGAAATAGAATTGGTCCCAGCACCGATCCTTGTAGTACTCCACTCGTTACTGTTCGCCAGTCCGACTTCTCGCCCCTTACTGTAACTCTTTGGCTCCTTCCTGTTAGGTAGTTCCTTATCCATGCTAGGACCTTTCCTCCCACCCCCGCCAGCCTCTTTGAGTTTGAACAGCAGTCTCATGTGCGGTTCTGTATCAAAGGCTTTTTGGCAGTCCAGAAATATACAGTCTGCCCAACCATCTCTTTCCTGTCTTATCCTCGTTATTTTATCATAGAATTCCAAAAGGTTTGTTAGGCACGATTTCCCTTTCCAGAACCCATGTTGATGTTTGTTCACAAACCTAACGTTCTCCAGGTATGCAACCAGTCGTAGCCTAATTATTCTTTCAAGTATTTTACAGGGGATGCTTGTCAGTGATACGGGTCTATAGTTAAGTGCCTCCTCCCTATCGCCTTTCTTGAAAATCGGTACGACATTTGCTTTCTTCCAGCAATGGTGACCTTTTTCCCAGGTCTTCAAACTTCCATTTCCGCTTTATTAGGAGTGCCACTCCCCCTCCCTGTCTCTGTGTCCTCTCTTTTCTTATCACCTGGTAGCCCTCTGGAAAGATTGCATCTGTGATCATGTCATTTATTTTAGTTTCCACAATTGCAACTATGTCAGGATCTGCCTCACTCACTCTTTCTGTTATCTCTTCTGCTTTATTAGATACCCCATCATCATTGGTGTACCAAATCTTGAGATTCTTCATGAAAACTCTGGTACCAGAGTTCGCCCTTTCTCTGGGGATCTGAGGGGATCTGAGGGGTGTCTGGGGGGTGAAAGGGATCGGGAGGGGTGCTTGGGGGGCGAATGGGGGCTGGGCATCAAGGAAGGTAGGTAGGAGGGTCTGGGGTAGGGCCTGGTCTGGAGTAGGAAGGGCATACTAGGTCTGAAGATTAGGAAGGATCTGATAGGCATAGAGGGGTTGAGAGGTAGCGTAAGGTTGGGAGGCAGATAAAGGTTGAGAGGTTGGGGAGAGAAGGATAGAGGGGGGGGGGGGGGGAAGAGGGGCAGGTGGAACATGGATAGTGAGAATGGGAGGGAGGTTGTATTAGTCAGGGGGAACTCAAGGGTAGGTGTGGGCATTGGGGCAGAAAGGGGGAAGAGGGAAATGGAGGAAGAGGTGTGTGTGTGTGTGTGTGTGTGTGTGTGTGTGTGTGTGTGTGTGTGTGTGTGTGTGTGTGTGTGTGTGTGTGTGTGTGTGTGTGTGCGGGCAGGAGGAGGAGCAGGATGCCAAGGGGTGTTACCGTAAGGCACACGCAAAAACCGTGCGGGGCGACACCCAATTACACGGAGGGTGCTGCCGGCGGGTGTAAGGCAGCCCTCTCCCCCCCTCCCTACCAGGTTCTGGCTTTCTCCCCTGTCTCATTCCCGCCCTCAACACCAGTCTTTCTCCTGTTTTCAAGGGTTCCAGGATCCTGTTTTCAAGGGTTCCAGGATACTGTTTTCAAGAGTTCCTGGATCCTGTCTTCAATAGAGGGTTCCAGGATCCAGGTTCCAGCCTTCGTGTTTGTCTAGCCAACACAAGGTGAATGTAATATGTTCTTCGCAGTGTTCTTCGGGGAGGTTGGTGTTCTATACATATATTCTGCGGGTAAATATTGATTCCTGTCATATTTAAGATGACATTTGCGGAGAGTTTAAGGGAAAACAAGGGTACATATAGGAAATGGATTGTAACTTTTTATTTAGGCTCTATTGAGGGTTCCTATGATGGGTCGGTGGATTGTGGTGACTTTGTGTGCTGCTGCCCTCTGTGTGCCGCTGCCCTCCGTGTGCTGCTGCCCTCTGTGTGCCGCTGCCCTCCGTGTGCTGCTGCCCTCCGCGTGCCGCTGCCCTCCGTGTGCTGCTGCCCTCCGCGTGCCGCTGCCCTCCGCGTGCCGCTGCCCTCCGCGTGCCGCTGCCCTCCGCGTGCCGCTGCCCTCCGCGTGCCGCTGCCCTCTGTGTGCCGCTGCCCTCCGTGTGCTGCTGCCCTCCGCGTGCCGCTGCCCTCCGTGTGCTGCTGCCCTCCGCGTGCCGCTGCCCTCCGTGTGCTGCTGCCCTCCGCGTGCCGCTGCCCTCCGCGTGCCGCTGCCCTCCGCGTGCCGCTGCCCTCCGCGTGCCGCTGCCCTCCGTGTGCCGCTGCCCTCCGCGTGCCGCTGCCCTCTGTGTGCCGCTGCCCTCCGCGTGCCGCTGCCCTCCGTGTGCCGCTGCCCTCCGTGTGCTGCTGCCCTCTGTGTGCCGCTGCCCTCCGTGTGCTGCTGCCCTCCGCGTGCCGCTGCCCTCCGTGTGCTGCTGCCCTCCGCGTGCCGCTGCCCTCCGTGTGCTGCTGCCCTCCGCGTGCCGCTGCCCTCCGCGTGCCGCTGCCCTCCGCGTGCCGCTGCCCTCCGCGTGCCAACACAGTGTGCTCTTCCATAACTGGCCAACGAAGGTGGCAGCCACCAGTCGCTGGGAGACGCCGCTGTCCTACTCTATAAGGCCATTATGTTAATACTCCGGGCTCCTGGTCTGCCCTGACGCGCGTGCACACACACACACACGCACACACATAGGGGTAGGAAGCAGGAGACCAGATACAAGGTATCACTTGGGAGATGAAATACTTCAAGAGTCCGAGAGAGAGAAAGACCTGGGGGTTGATATCACGCCAGACCTGTCCCCTGAAGCTCATATCAAGAGGATAACATCAGCAGCATATGCCAGGTTGGCTAACATAAGAACGGCCTTTAGAAACTTGTGTAAGGAATCTTTCAGAACATTATATACCACATATGTCAGACCAATCCTGGAGTATGCGGCTCCAGCATGGAGTAGTCAAGCATAAGACTAAACTGGAAAAGGTTCAAAGGTTAGCCACCAGACTAGTACCCGAGCTGAGAGGTATGAGCTACGAGGAGAGACTACGGGAATTGAACCTCACTTCGTTGGAAGACAGAAGAGTTAGGGGGAATATGATCACCACATTCAAGATTCTCAAGGGAATCGACAGGGTTGATAAAGACAGGCTGTTTAACACAAGGGGCACACGCACTAGGGGACACAGGTGGAAACTGAGTGCCCAAATGAGCCACAGAGATATTAGAAAGAACTTTTTTAGTGTCAGAGTAGTTAGTAAATGGAATGCATTAGGAAGTGATGTGGTGGAGGCTGACTCCATACACAGTTTCAAGTGTAGATATGATAGAGCCCAATAGGCTCAGGAACCTGTACACCTGTTGATTGACAGTTGAGAGGCGGGACCAAAGAGCCAGAGCTCAACCCCCGCAAGCACAACTAGGTGAGTACACACACACGCGTGTGAGTCTGTGCGTGTAAATTTAGGTTGTTGTTGTTGTTTTAGATTCAGCTACTTAGAACAAAAATTCCAAAGTAGCACGGGCTATGGTGAGCCCGTAGTAGACATACCTGCCACAGGAGCGGGACAAGTAGCACGGGCTATGGTGAGCCCGTAGTGGACATACCTGCCACAGGAGCGGGACAAGTAGCACGGGCTATGGTGAGCCCGTAGTAGACATACCTGCCACAGGAGCGGGGCAAGTAGCACGGGCTATGGTGAGCCCGTAGTGGACATACCTGCCACAGGAGCGGGACAAGTAGCACGGGCTATGGTGAGCCCGTAGTGGACATACCTGCCACAGGAGCGGGACAAGTAGCACGGGCTATGGTGAGCCCGTAGTAGACATACCTGCCACAGGAGCGGGGCAAGTAGCACGGGCTATGGTGAGCCCGTAGTGGACATACCTGCCACAGGAGCGGGACTGTAACTGAACCTAAATTTAGGTAAACAACAATCCGCACGTAGTTGAAACAGTCCAAACGTCAGCGGGTAACGTGTTCCAGAGATCTATAACCCAACTCCCATACTCTATACCTATATATATCTATAGGTATATATCTATAGGTACCTATATATCTATCTATAGATCAATAACCCTACTCTGCTCTTCTCTCTCCTCACTCTAAACTTATCCAACACTATTGTTTCGTGTAGCAGTAGTGACCTTTCCTCATGCTCTTGGCTTTTACTACAACGTGTAAATTAATCTTTCTTGATCTTTATTCACCAGAAATACTTCTTGGAAAAAAAAGAATTGAATTTAAATTCTAGAGAAAGGCGTACAGTGAGGGAGAGCAAGGTTATGTATTCAAATGTATGAAAGGGTGTGACAAGACGAGGTCAGTGTGTCACTACTGAAGGAAAGAAGAGGGAGGAAGGGAAGGAAGGAAGGAAGGAAGGAAGGAAGGAAGGAAGGAAGGAAGGAAGGAAGGAAGGAAGGAAGGACTATATAGCACTGGGAAGGGATCAGGATAAGGATTAGGGATGGGACGGGGAAGGGGAGGGTGGAAGGAATGGTGCCCAACCACTTGAGGACGATCGGGGATTGAACACCGACCTGCATGACGCGAGACCGTCGCTCTACCTTCCAGCCCAAGTGGTTGGACAAGAGGAGGACAAGAGGAAGGAGTAACTATATCAACACAAAAATAGTAAAGGTGGAACAGGTACCAGGTGGAGCCGGTCGGCCGAGCGGACAGCACGCTGGACTTGTGATCCTGTGGTCCCGGGTTCAATCCCGGGACCACAGGATCAATGCAAGAAACAATGGGCAAAAGTTTCTTTCACCCTATGCCCCTGTTACCTAGCAGTAAAATAGGTACCTGGGTGTTAGTCAGCTGTCACGGACTGCTTCCTGGGGGTGGAGCCCTGGTCGAGGACCGGGCCGCGGGGACACTAAAGCCTCGAAATCATCTCAAGATAACCTCAAGATAACCCTAGGAAGAGCAGCGTGAGGCTGCTGGCTGGCTCCAAGTGGAGGTCCAGCCAGCCAACCACACACACACATATACCAGTGAACGACCTGATGTACCTAGGAGCGGCCTCGCATCATCCAATAGGCCCGTTGGAGTCCGGTGGATTGTGAGGTTGTCAAGTGGCTGGTGGCGTGTGTGGTGGAGGTGTGGGGTGTATGTGTGGGCTGTGGTGGTGGTGTGGGGTGTATGTGAGGGCGGTGGTGGAGATGTGTGCTGTGGTGGTGGGGTGTAGCTTAGGGGACTGGTGAGGCAGGCCGGTGCCTGTTACTATGGTGTGATCCTCTATCATACTGTCAGGGTCAGCTGTGGAGGTACACGCTGGGGGGGGAGGGGGAGGGAGAGAGAGAGAGAGAGAGAGAGAGAGAGAGAGAGAGAGAGAGAGAGAGAGAGAGAGAGAGAGAGAGAGAGAGAGAGAGAGAGAGAGAGAGAGAGAGAGAGAGAAAGTATCGCAGGAAGGTCTCAGGCTGTCCCGTTCACTCAGAAGGTCGAGGCTGAGAGAGAAGGGAAGACATATATATCACAAAAGGGAAAGGTGTAGGGGTAACGAAGGTCAAGTGACGGCAAATGGGAAACAAGCCAAATTAGGGTATGGGGAAAGAGGAAGAGGGAGGAAGGGGGAGAGAGAGAGAGAGGGAGGGAGGGAGGGAGGAGAACGGTGAAGGTATTTGAGGGGAAAGTGTGCTGACCCCTGACCTGTGAGTGAGGTGACCCGGAGCAAGGTGCCGTGGCTGCCAACGCCGTACACGACGTCAAACGCACGCCGGGGGCGGAAATACGTAGCGGCGCAGGCGGTGGGTTATGCAGCAGCGCGCCTGCGGACATGGTGCAGACTTGGCGTGTGTATGTGGGGGGGGTGGGGGGAAGGGAGAGCAACGCCTACGCTGACCTGGTTTACGCTGGCCTGGGAACAGCGTAGGTGGCGTGCGTAGCGACGCGCGAGGCTACAGACGTCCAGCCATCTTTTCCATCTTTCATGGCACTAGTACCGGGCGCCAGGGTGCGGGGCTGGGCAGGTGGGGCGGGCGTCGATGATGCCTTAGATGGTACAGGACGCGGAGGTGGGTGGCTGGGTGCTGGGTGGGTGGGCGGTAGGTGGGTGGGTGGGTGGCTGGGTGGGCGGCAGGTGGTGGGTGGCCATATACGGACCTGATCCTCATCAGCGTGGGAATCATGAATCACGATGCACACTGCATACAATGCAACGTAATCCGGTATAATGCATTGCAATTATGTTCAAGACGTGTTAATGAGTCTCTCAGTGACATGTCACGCCATTGTTATTGCTGTGTGTTCACTAGTACCCGTTGTTGTTGCAAGAGTTGACACGCAACATTGCACGGAGCAAACCGTCTAACAAGGACGCCATGAGTCTTGATGAAGCAGTCGAGCAGTTTCATGATGTCCTCGCCTCTCTTCACTCTTAGCAGTCAACTGCAGAGGTGTACTTCTTCTGTGATGATCTTGCTTATTAGTACTTACACAACTACAGGTAAGCGGTAATAACCACCTGATAACCACAGCAGTGACCTGATAACCACAGCAGTGACCTGATAACCACAGCAGTGACCTGATAACCACAGCAGTGACCTGATAACCACAACAGTGACCTGATAACCACAGCAGTGACCTGATAACCACAACAGTGACATGATAACCACAACAGTGACCTGATAACCACAGAAGTGACATGATAACTAATAGCGTGTTACTCCGACAGGCACAGAGACCCGGGGCGGGTGTCGAGTGGGGGACACAGTTTACCCCAGCGAGACGGCCATCCCACGCGACCACCCCTGTCACTACTGCATCTGCTATCAGAGTCAGGTATGTGTGTGCCTCTCCTTATACCTGCCTCCTGTCGCACACACACGTGCCTCTCATCCACACTCCTCGTGTCACACACCTGCCTCTCACCCACCCCCTCACACACCTCACCTCACACTCGCCTCATAACCATGATACCATTAACAAGTATGAGGCGTCAATGTGAATGACGCCTCATACTCCTTGTTTCAGGCGAAACTTGAACCAAACTTGTATGGTCTGGGTTTGGTTCTAAGAAAAAAATATTTGTTTACGTTAGTATAGGTGACTTGTGAGCACATATGAGCACATGTGAGCACATGTGAGCACATGTGAGCACATATGTCTTCCATTGCTAGTCTGGTTATTGCAACATTGCAAATAATAGATTTCTACGGCAAAAAATAGTCAGTCAGTTAAATAGTAAACTATTCAACAATAATAACAGGATATGAATACAAATAAAAAAAATAAAAGGTTTAGAAGATTAGTTTAGAAGTTTAGAAAAATAAGGTTTAGAAGACTGCATGACAGGAAAATTTAGACCTTTAGAACTAGACATGAGAGAGTTCTACCATGTTGAACCCCGCCCCCCCCCCCAAGAGCTCTATCCTGAGCTCCGCTTTCCAAAAGCTCTATCCAGAGCCCCGCTCCTCTAAGAACTCTATGCAGAGCCCCGCTCCTCTAAGAACTCTATCCAGAGCCCCGCTCCTCTAAGAACTCTATCCAGAGCCCCGCTCCTCTAAGAACTCTATCCAGAGCCCCGCTCCTCTAAGAACTCTATCCAGAGCCCCGCTCCTCTA